CCTTTCCAACCTTAGTGATTCTGTGATGTTTTTGGCATTACAAAAGCAAAGTACGAGTAAAATCTCTTTGAGGAGATAACGGATAGGTATGTTTAAAAAAACCCAAACAACAACAACAAACCCCCAAAATCCCCAAAACCACCAAAAACCCCCAAAACTATAAACCAACGAAACAACAGGCCACCGCCGGGGAGATCTGTGCTTGGTGTGGAAACATTTCTTTCCAGTGTTGGCAAAATAAGTTGAGAAGTGAGTAATTTTGCAGAATTGCATCTGGTAGTGTTCATTCCTGCATCCTGGGATGAGGGAGGCACATATAATTGATGTCTTTAGGACTGGGTTAATTGCCTAACAGGAGGGCCACACTGCTCTGTGACTGATGGCTGTCCTTGAAAATACAGAAGCAGAATTTGGTGAAGGTTCCTATGTTCTAACATCAAGACCCCACATGTAAAGTCAGTGATGTTGGGAATCTTTCCCATATTTTCCAGCTTCTGTCTTCTAATTGCAGAGCTGTAACCTTGGGAAACAAAACCAGATTCTGGCTGTTCTACCGCGATATAGTCCTGAATTGAGTGCCCTGAGACTTAACAAAATGCACTGCAGTGGTCAGGGGATGATCATGTGTTTAGCTTTCCACTCTCATCAGACGCATGGGAGAGCTGTCCAGTGGCTGCTTTACTGAAGATAAAGAAATTGAGAGGGTTCTTTAAAATTAAACTGCCCCTCCCTCAAGCACATAAGGGACACACAGAAATCCAGGGGAGCTAATGACTATCAGCAAGAACCCTTGTTCAGCTTTGGGTTTATTCCACTTTACTATGTTCATAATAAGCTTTTGTTGCTGGCTCTTGTATGTGGGGTTTGTCTGGATCTGTGATTCAGTATGTGGAGGGATATCAGTGCCTGTGTTTCGTGCCTGACATATTGGAAAGGTTGATTTATTGTATCTCTATAAATACTACAGAAGCTCACCCAAGGTGGTGTCAGTAATATAAACAAATACTTCAGTTACTTTTGGTTTCTCTAGAAATCTCAACTCTAGGACTTGAGGCTTAAAGATGCATTGTGTTTTTCTTTTTTCAAATATATGACCTCAATAGTCTGAAGATTCATATTTGTGAAGCATTAAGACTGAAGAGATGTTAGCGTCTCTCTTCCTACTTCCCTCAGGGCTGTAGGTCTGGTGTGCTAACACTGGGCATTTTTTCACACCAGTTCTTGGACATATGCTCTGTGGTGGCTCTTTTGTTGCTCGCCTGCAGTTGCTGTTAATGTCTTCCATACAATTAATGGTATGCAAATAGCTGATTTGCATGTAGTCCTATGGTTGTTGCAGGATCAGTTTCATTTGGACTGAGATCTAGAGCCAAAGTATCTTATGTCTGTTCTTTTTTCACGTTTCACTTCTCTAGATACTGGGTGTTCAGATCTTGGGGTCGCGTGGGCACTGTAATTGGGAGTAACAAGCTGGAGCAGATGCCGTCAAAAGAAGATGCTGTTGAACACTTCCTGAATTTGTATGAAGAGAAAACTGGCAATTCTTGGCATTCAAAGAACTTCACTAAATATCCCAAAAAATTCTACCCACTGGAAATAGATTATGGACAGGTAAGTCTGAAATGTCCCTGTATGAGGTGGAGCATTGCTCAGCTGCTTTCCTTCAGCTGTTTTGTTCAGTGCTCACTGTTGGATCACTTACACTTAAAAAACCTGAGCAATGAAGTGCAGGTGCAACTATTGTATCTTCTCTGTGCTACAGAGAGTGAGCTGTAGATTGATGAGTTTCATGAATGAAAATAGATGTGTTGGGAAACTAAGTAGTTTCCTATTGTCAAGTCTGAAGTCCTTTTAGTGCTCTTCCCTGTTTACTTTGTAATTTTAAAGATGTGAATCTGAACTTAATTTAGCAGTCCTTTCACATACATCCTGTCTGAAAACACCATTTTCTTTTATTTAAAATAGATACTTCTCTGTCTTCAACGTCTAAAATCCTACCAAATGGTGAAGCAATTCTTATGCAGCATTCTGCTTAGTGCACATATTGAGCAGGCTGAGAAAGAGAAATTATTCATTGCCAGTAAGATTTGGCTATTTAGACAGCTAAGCTAAATAAGAATTCTCTTCCTTCTGCCCAGTGGGGGTTTGTATGTTTATTTAAAGGCATACCCATAACTTAAACTATTTTCAGATGAAACAGTTGAATGCTGTTAATAGCTATAAAGATATCAGAAAACATATTTTTCAAGCCATTGCATTTTTCTGTGGCCAAATTACCGGATGTCATCTTTCAGTGCAAAGTACGTGATTCTTAGCTTTATTTCTGGAAATTTGAATATTGCAGTGGCGAAGCGTCTGTTACACTGCAATGTACAGTGATATTCTGAAGCACCTGGCAGATGCTTTATTGGTGCGGCGCTCTATCCATGAAAGCATCTAGATGAAATTGTGGCTAATTGATGATTCCTGTACTTATCCGTGACAGTTTTTATTACAAAAACTTAATGAAACTGGTTATTACATATCTTTTTTGTCATAAAAGCAACAAAGTAAACAGTCATTTTTTCACATCAAGGACTCTGTGCAGAAGAACGCTTGCAGAAAAATTAATACTCTTGAGGTGAAGCAGAGATGCACACAGAGTTCCTGTTCCCTTAATTCTACTTAAATTGTGTAGTGCCACCTCTTGAAATGTCTTGCCAAATTACTGAATAGGTAGATTTTTAAACCCACTTTGTTCCAAAATGTCACAGCAATGTGCCACGCTGCCCATGAACTTCAGACTAGTCATAGTGTGCATACACTAAATTGGTTTTGAGTTGTTACCATGGCAACCAGCCTGTTACTTTTATCCTTTGTGATTTTGCTAATTCTGATTCTAATTTTACCTCCCAGGATGAAGAAGCTGTCAGGAAACTGACAGTGGGTGCTGGGACTAAGTCAAAACTTGCTAAGCCAATCCAGGACCTTATTAAGATGATCTTTGATGTGGAGAGCATGAAGAAAGCAATGGTGGAATTTGAGGTGACCACACATGTTCATGTTACTCACTCATGACCCTCATTTCTCTCTTTCCATGATACGTATGCAGCCAGAAGCAAGTTCTTTGCAATTCGTTATGCATCATACTTCCCAGAAGTCAGTGTGAATTTTAGATCAGCCTTAAAATAAGGACAAGAGTCTGACCAGAATTTGCCAAGTACTGGAAATAGTAACTTAGTTATGGTACGTGCAGTTTTTAAAACATGGGTGCATTCTTTGTTCTTCAGTGGGGAATGTCTGTATCAGCATCTTCAACTTAACAAGCCTATGAGAAACTCATCTGCTGGTCCTGGTATCAGTAGTCATTCTATGTTTATTGTTTGGTTTTTGTTTTTTTTTTTTTTCCAGTGATGCATCATGACCACTGTTCACTGAATGCTCTTAAGATATTAACACAGCCAGTTTGCTGGTAATGTGAGGCAGGAGGCACTTTTTTTTTTTCCTGAGCAGTGAACCACACTTGGTGAGGGGCTGGGGGGTAAGCACTACTACTAATTTAGATAGCAAATGAACATGCAGCTCAGACTTGAGAAATGCTGCCAGTTGCGTGCACTAATGAAGTGCCTTGACGAAGTCCAGATCCTCTTACGAATGGGGCCAAACTCTAGATTTTGTTGTTGTTGTTGTATTTCTTATTTGTTCTAATCATACCCTATTTTCAACCATTCTTCTTTCCTGCATACTTTTTGATCTGCTTTTCTAACAGGCTTTCAGAGAGTGGTCTCCTTGTATTGTCTGTCTCTCCTTGCCTAGAAACAGCTTTATTGGTGTTCAGAGATCCTGCAGTTTGTTTGAATGCAGCCATTCAAACTGGGTTAATTCTAACTAACAAGCTTCAGTTTTCTTCAGCCAGCTTAGTTATCCTTCTCTAAGAGTTCATATTTAAGCAGCTGTTGTTTGCTCTCTGTGTCAGTATTTTGTGTATCTACTTTTCAGAACAGGCTTTGCACCATTCCGTACAGCTTATCTGAAAGCTTCAGATAGCTTGCCCAATGTTTTGTAGTACCTTGGGTTAACTGTGTTCCCCTGTATCTCCAGTGGTTCTTTACATCAAAGTCTTTTAAAATACTTACAATTCTGTGGAACTGGAACTGGCTGAAGACTCTGAACTGATCATCATCTGATGTCTTCTGGCTTTGTAGAAGTCTGTTGATACTATATTAATTCACAGCAGCTGCAGATCTATAGGTGACTTGGGAGTCCAGATGGGCCTGTCTTCCTATGAGATTTATCTTCCTGCACTGTTTCTGCCGAACAGCTGTTTTCCGTTAGAGGAAATAATGTTTTTCCTAGTTAGAGGTTTCTGTGCATCCTCTGAAAACGACTCCTTCATTCCTTTAATTATCCTGATCTCAAGTATTTCATTCCATCCAGGCACTCTCGGTCTGCCAAAACTGCAAAACTAAATTCTTAGTCTTTCCATTACATGACAATAGAGTTATCTGATGTATTTATCTTCCTGCTTCTAACTTAGCTTTCAGGAATTTTACCTCACCAAGTTTTTTATTTTATTTAAGTTTATTACAATTACCTATGTCATTGCCATACATAGTTAGAGGGCTCAGTCTACTCTTGTGCTGTGTCCTCTCTTGCCTGCATGGAAGGCAAACATCTCCCTTGCCTCTCATGACAACCTTAGTACACACATCTGTGATGTGGAGCTAATTCTTCATGTTACCCTCAGTGCATCTGGCAGTAATTGCAGTGCTGATGTTTTAGATCCAACCCCTTGACTGCTGTGTTCTTTTGATGCATCTAGCGATAAAGCTTTGGATGCAGTTTAGCTTTATATTAGCTCTGCAGGGCTCTGTTCACCTCCCATGACTCACAGAAGACAAATTCCAGCCCTTTGGCTGTATGTGGGCTCTGTAAGAGATACATTACTCAGTCATGTTGTTGGGGGATGTGGTAGTTTATAGGTGTTAGTGTCTATATGTGGTAGTTTATAGGTTTATATAACTTCAGTTAGTATAGGTGTCTGCAGCTATTCTGCACATCCAAGTTAAGTGGCCCGTTTTATGTGTCTTTTATGATTTTTCAGCTAATAATTAAATAATACGGATGGATGGTACTCAACAGGAAAGCATTGGCCGCAAAAGTTTGGGAGCTACAAATCTATTGCAAGTTGTTTTTCATTAGGTTATTAATCTTGGCTTTGTGACTCTCGTGTCCCTAAGACATAATCAGTTTTGAAGTCTGTCTTTTCTCTTGCATTCCATCTTGGCTTTTCTTAGTATCTGGCTTTATGTATGCTTAGCTGCAGCTAAAGGTGAAAGTTCTTCTAAGCCCAGTACGTGGTGGAACTCTCCATACAAAATCACTTCAGGGCTTTCGCACCAGTCTGTAGCTTGGAAGAGCCTTCTGAGTTCACCTTGCAGAGAAGATTTGCATAAAGCTGAGTTTCCTAGCTCCATAGTGAATAAATAATGTGGAACTTACCCAGACAGTATGATGATATACATGGTTTTATAGGATCTTCTGTCCTTGAGCTGAATCTTAAACCCATCAAGTTAAATAAAAGCTACTTTGACCTGCCGGGTGTACGGTGAGTACTGTCAAGAGTCCAGAGGGTGTCTGTATGATCTTTGCAAAAGACTCCATTGGACTTGACTTTTGTCAAACATTCTTGCGTTCAGATGGTCCTTAACTATGCGAGGATTTAATGCTAAACCACGACAACTGCAAAGCCAAAACTCTCCCAAGATCCACCAATATACAAACAAAAGCAACATATAAATTGAATCAGTGGATAAATGCAGGCAACCAAGACATCGCTTTTAACTTAGTTGCTTTTTTTGTTGTTGGTTTTTCATTAATGAATATGAAGCATCCTATAATCTCTTTGCGTTCGACCCCTGATAATTGTAGGGTGTGGAAGAAGGCGTCTAGGTTGTACCTAGAGACACAGATGATCGTATGAACAATAATTATTTCATTCAGTCTGCTTCTTTGCTAGCCTGAAATGTATGGTTACTCAAGTGATTGAGGACTCCGTCTGACAGCAGGTCAATAATAGACTTCTACCCAGATACTTAGTACCCTATTTTTGTGTTGCCCTAGCGTACATGCTTAGTTTCCTATTGCAGTATTCCTTTGTTTCTAGGAAGTCTTCTCAGTGCTGTACACTGTCCTTCTGATACCATTCCTCGATCCGCAGAGATTAATACCAAGTCTGAAATGTTTTCATTCTTCGTGTGGTCAGTCCTACCAGAATGGAGAGACTAGTTCACTAGAAACTAGAGAGGGAATGCTGCAGTGGTTTCAGTGTAGTGAAATCCTGTTTTAATCATTTAAATCTTCATCAGATTGACCTGCAGAAGATGCCATTGGGAAAACTGAGCAAGCGACAGATCCAGAGCGCATACTCCATCCTTAATGAGGTTCAGCAGGTGAGCATGAAAGAGTTGTTAGAGCAAGAGGGGAGTTCAGAAGTTGTCCTGGGCTTGGAGTGAATGCTCAGCTGTGTGTATAAAGATCTGTGCTCTCTTTCACTGGAGAAGGGGATGTGGCTTCCACTGATAACTAGTTAGTTCTCTTCACTATTGTACCAGTTTGAGCAGTACTTTTATCTTTCCCACTTTTGTAGCACAAACTTCAGGCTGAGCCAGACATAAATGGCAGTTGAGCAAATAAAGCTGATGTCTTGATCTAGTAGCAAGCTGGTGTTTCCACCCGAGAAGTCTGCTTGACCATGAGAATAAAAGTTGACACAGGAGAGGGTCTGGCTTGATGCCATTACTGTGTTTACACATCATGACCTGGACCATTCCAAGAATCACTACACAGTACTGCCTGAACAGCTTGCAAAAGTGTACCAGCATACCCCATTTTTTGTTATGGGCTCCCTGGCAAAGCATAGATAGGGGAAGTTTTACTTCAGTTGTTAGAGTAGACCAGAACCTTGCCAAGGATGTGCACCCCTTCTGTATCCAGAAGTCTTTATTTTGTCTTCCAGAAATCTAATCCCCATTAGATTTTTCTCACATAGAAATACACAGAATTTCTGGTACAAGTACTGTCACTTACTACATGCAAAACAGTTAAATAGAATTGCCCTTTTTAGTTCTGTGAGAGTTCCAGCATTAATGCTACTTGTACATCTGCTTCTGTGTATTAACCTCAAGTATCTTGTGTGTGTCTTTTGCTATGGAGACTTAATCTTACTCAGTAATTTTCTTTGGTGCTTGTTTTCTTGTGTAGGCAGTTTCTGATAGTGGTTCAGAATCCCAGATCTTGGACCTCTCCAACCGCTTCTATACCCTGATCCCTCATGACTTTGGGATGAAGAAACCACCTCTCCTAAATAACTTAGAATACATTCAGGTATTGACTGGAAACAGTATGTTGTTTGCAGGCAACAGGTCTGATATCAGACATCTAGCAAAGAGAATTTGTGAGGTTTTAAGACTTACTTTAACCTCATGCTTTCATGAGGTTAAGCTTGTATTTCTTCAGAGTATGTTTATGTGCATATGTGTGTATACATATGCAAATAATTTTATATATAAGGTATCAGAAGACATGTTATATAGTATGGTATATTTTTTGTATATATGTGTGTGTATATTTGAGTATATTTAAGTGTACATATATTAAAAAAAGGTAGTGTTGTGTTGTTAGATGGCGATGTGTGGCAGGTGATCCACATACACTGTTACAATTTGGGGTATTCCAGAGTCATGAACATGTCAAAGGCACAAGTAAAATAACATCTTCAAATTCTTCAGGCTAAAGTGCAGATGTTGGACAACTTGCTTGATATTGAGGTTGCTTACAGCCTTCTCAGAGGTGGAAATGACGATGGAGATAAAGACCCAATTGACATCAACTATGAAAAACTTCGAACTGATATTAAGGTAAAGGAAATGACTGTGAATACAAACTGATGTCCTGTTGTTTTGGAATATAACAAATCGCCTAAACTGTAAGTGGACAGATGTATTGGCATGAGTTCAATGAAGGGCCACTGACATGGTTAAGGGACTGGAGCATGTGTTGTATGAGGAGATGCTGAAAGAGCTGGGGCGCTTTAACCTGGAGAAAAGAAGGCTCAGGGGATAGCTTATCAATGTCTCTGAATACCTGATGGGGGAAGGGAGTAAAGAAGGCAGAGACAGACTCTTTTCAGTGGTTTCCAGTCCAAGAGGGAATGAGTACAAATTGAAGTACAGGAAATTGTATTTAAACAAAAGAAGGAGCTTTTGTTGTTGATGGTGTTTGGTTTTGTTTGTTTGTTTACTGTGAGGGTGGTCAAACACTGGAAGAAGTTGCTCAGAGAGTCTGTGGAGGCTCCATTCTTGCAGGTGTTGAAAGCCTGACTGAACTCAGTCCTTGGCAACCTCCTCCAGCTGACCCTACTTTGAGCAGGGGAGTTGGAAATCATCTCAATTTCCAGATGTGCCTTCCTCTCTGTCTCTGACAAGTGCTGTCTGTGTACCTGAACATCTTCTGTAGCTGGGAATAAATTTCCACCTAAATTATAAAGGAGACTTAAACTGGGGAGTTGCAAGGGTGTGGTGGGCACCATCATGTTATAAGAAGCCTGCGAGTTTGTATGTTAAAGAAACTTCTCTCGTTTGCCTCTTTGCAGGTTGTTGACAAAGATTCAGAAGAAGCCAAGATTATTAAACAATATGTGAAAAATACTCATGCTGCTACTCACAATGCATATGACCTCAAAGTCGTGGATGTAAGCTGGGCAATAACTGGGGTTTAAGTTTGTCATTCTAAGTCAACTTACTTGTTTGCAGTTTCCTTTTATTTTTGAGTAGCTTATCTAGTTTCCTTTGTTGAAGGGATGGTTTGATAGATCAATTGCTATTAAATAGAGTAGCAAAAGTCTAGGCAGAGATGAGTCTAAGCTTACTGAGGTGTCTTTGGGTGTCTGCTTTTAATTCAATTGGCCTTGAAAAGGAGGTGGAGGAGTAATCTAAAACTGAGCCTTAGTTCATTGAATGATTTTTCAGAAAACTATGATCTCGTGAAAATGCAGAAGGGGAGATGGAAAAGTAATCAATAACAAGTACTGTGTGATCAACGCTACCTCTTTTTTGCTAGCATGACATAGCAAACTGCAAAAACTAAAAACCATCCAGATCAATTTTCCTAGCAGATTACTATATATTCCAGACTGGATGATTTTTTTAAATCCGATTAGTTGCATGAAGGTAACAGTTTATTTGCTTGGTTGTTCTTTTTCTCCTATATCTTTTTGAACTGAAGATCTTCAGGATTGAGCGTGAAGGAGAGAGTCAGCGTTACAAGCCATTTAAGCAGCTTCACAATCGCCAGCTGCTGTGGCACGGTTCCCGCACCACCAACTTTGCTGGTATCCTCTCACAGGGTCTCCGGATAGCTCCTCCTGAAGCTCCTGTGGTACGTTAAACAGATAGCTTCTCTGGCAGCCTCTATCCGTGTGCCCAGAGACAGCCACAGTCAGAGAACACCTATACGGGAGAATTTCTGTGTGGGGAGGGCTCAGTGTTACCTCTCAGCCTGCAGGCAACATTGTGTATCCAGAGTGTGTTGCTGACTGGTGTCCACAAGAGCTTGAGTTGCAGCTTTGCTCTCCTGGGAGGCCAGCCAGGTGGATTCAATGCTGCCTTTGTGTTATTGTCCCAATCTTTTTTTTTTCTTCTTCTGTTTTTTTTTTTTTTTCTTTTGCTGCTTGTAGACTGGCTACATGTTTGGGAAGGGCATCTATTTTGCAGACATGGTATCCAAGAGCGCCAACTACTGTCACACATCTCAAGCTGATCCCATAGGCTTAATACTACTGGGAGAAGTTGCCCTTGGAAATATGTAAGTAACTTATGAAGAGCATTTGCTGAATGTGCTTAACATATAGTGGTAGAAGGTGGTGCTAAATTGCAAGCCTTTTCTTCAGTATGAAGAAACAGCACTTTGTAGACCCTTAGAAACAAGATTTCTTTTTTCTTAAAATGAGAGCTATTTCGTGGGGGGAAAAAAGAATCAGTGTTGCAGGTCTACAATCTTATACTAAATGCCAATGTCATTAAAATTAGTAACTAAGACAAAGAAGGAAGACTATTCAGAAGAGTAGCACATAAATTAACTTTATATTAACTCACCATCAAGTGAAACCTGAAAAAAAAAAAAAAGATTTTCCACCAAAATAGTTTAAGACAAATGTAAAATGCTATTGCATGTTCTTTGTGCTGTACAGGTATGAGCTAAAGAATGCTTCTCACATAACAAAATTGCCCAAGGGAAAACACAGTGTGAAAGGTAAGCATTAGTAGTTGTCACTGGTAATCTGTTATTGATGGCAAACTCACCTTGTGGCCCTCTGCTTATCAAAGAGAACTATAGTCATTTCATAGTTGTACTTCCTTTATGAGTTTGCATAACGTAGCTCTATAGTTGCATCTGTGTATGTGTATGTTGTGTTGTTTTGAGATGGGAGTTAGTACACTTGGAACGTTAAGACTGAAGTTAATGTGTTGCCTGAAGTTCAGGAGGAAAGTTTCATTTGATATTACACAAGAGAAAATGTAAGGTGCATTCTCCAACGTCTTACTCGCTTTCATCATAACAGTACTATGTGCTTTAGAAGAAAGATGAGAGGTTTGATAGATCAGAAGAATAATTGTGTAGCTTTCAAAGTGCCTTAGAAGCTTGGGGAGTAGGAAAAATGTAAGAATAAAAGTTCAGATGGAACAGCTGTTCTCATTACATTTCTATCTGCAAAAAGAATCAGTATATTGTACTGAAAAAGATGATGAGAGAAAAGACTTAGCTCTCTAATTCAAGCAAAAGAAATGGTAATCATGACTATCTTCTGTACCGAGATGGGAGAGCGGAGAGCAGTAACATTCAGTAATGAGTGGCTTTTCTGAAACTATTCATTTTGAGAGGCTTAAAAAAATCAGTTGCCTAAAATAGAATAAAATGTGATTTAGCATCTTTTTCAATACATACTGCTCACACTATTATGGATGTCAAACCAGATTTGTATTGAAGAGTTTAAAGAGAATAAGAATTGGTTTGTTATACTTCTCTGAAACTGCTGCAATGTGCATGTTTTCATTGATGGACCTAGGATAGGAGAGCTTTAAGTCTGGTCTGTTTTAGCTTTGATCATACAGATTAGACAATTAACAGCCAAAAGTCTAAAATTCTGACTTTTAATGTAGCAGAGTACGAGTACCATAACTGTGGTGATGCTGAATTGAATAAACAGACTGTATCCTTGGTGTTCTTTTTAAGATACTTTTGCACTTGGTCAGCATTTGAAAATATATATGAAGTAATATTTGTCTGAGTAATTTTCTTTATGTGCAAAGTCTGTGTTTGCCTTCTAGATTTGTAACTAATGGTTTTTTTCCTTTCTAGGCTTGGGCAAAACTGCACCTGATCCCACAGCGACTACCACCCTTGGTGGTGTAGAGGTTCCCTTAGGGAACGGGATCTCAACAGGAATTAATGATACCTGTCTTCTGTATAATGAGTATCCTTTGCTATTATGCTGGCTGCATGCTGTGTCAGAGTGTTGCTGGGTTTTGCAGGACTTCGCTAACGTTGGTCAGGAGTTTTGGCACACTGTGGTTTGTTTCTTTTGAATCTGCTTTAGAGTACTCGCCAACAGTTTAGAGTCTCTTCTCCAAGGGAGATGATTGTACAGTTGCACACTTAAATTGTCATTCTGCAAAAAAAAAGGAAAGAACACACACAGCAAACAGCTGTTGTCCCAGTAGGACTCAATACCTGAAGGCACTGGTGTGGCCAGGCAATGCTGCCCAGTAGTGTCTTGCCCAGAGATGTGCCAGGACAAGGGGAGGGGAATGCAGCCTGTGGGTTTCACATCACTCCAGTCTGGTTTCTTCCTGGTCGTGCTGTGGCTGGCCAGCTTGCTCAGGAGGAGGAGGTGGGGGAGCCAGCTCTGTGGTTTGATGGAATCTCTCATCACACAGCTTTTCTTGTGTTCCCCAGACCCTTTGCAAGTATTGAGGTAAACTTCAGATGCTCATCAGAGATATAGCAGTTAAGCCTCGTTCTAGGCAGACGTGGTCCCAAATGAATGTGTGCTCAACAATCATAAGAGGTCATAAGTGATATCTAAGCTCCCAGATAATCTCTTCACTGCCAGTGAAGTAAGTAACCCATTAATACAACCTCTGGGTTGTGCAGAAACTGTCTTCTCTCTTGGTAAGCTGTTTTCCTCTTACAAGCAGTGTTGACAACAGAACTCATGGCAATACTGTTTTTGTCTTGAGTTTTCTTAAATACAGCATCTGTCTTGGTCAGATGATAAAATAGAATAATAATAGCTAACTGAGGTAACATGATGTGCGTTCATTTTGTTTTACACTGTGTTTAACAGGAATGCTTTTCATCTAAAATTGGTATTAGAGGCAAGTTTGAGGCCTAAAGCATTGAGAAACAAATAGGCAAGCTGGGACTGTCTTCTGAGAAAACAAAATAGTGCAGTACAGTCATAGAATGTGCAAGCACTGCCAGCCACTGTAGAGCTCTTCTCTCTGATTCCAGTTTGGGTTTTTTAGTGGGAAATTAAGAGGACATGAATGAGTTTGTGCTGAAAGGTAGCAACAGAGCTACAGTTATAATTGTAGATGCCAGGTCTGTAACTGCAGATCTCATCTAGGCTATGTTGCTCCACTGTTTAAATAGCAAGAGAGATGTTGTGTGTTATGGCTCTGGCTGACAATAAATAATCTTCAAGAGCTACAGCCCCATATCTAAGTCAGTTCACCTGCCTGTCAGTCAGGATTCCTGCTGCATCAGCATTAACTCTCCATACGACTGTTATTTGCATGTTTCGAACTATTGTATAAAACATTTTCAGATTCAAAGACAACTCAAATTTAAAGATTTGTGGTTTGAGCTGTTAGAACTGCTTAATCACACTGGCATCTGTACGGTAGCTTCAAAGCTACCAAAAGTGCAAAGGTGAAGTTTGACTGTGTTTTGAGGTTTTTCTGTGTTGTTAATATCAACAACTGTAATTATTCCTTAACATTCTTCCCAGATATATTGTGTATGATGTTGCTCAGGTAAATCTGAAGTACCTGCTGAAACTGAAATTCAACTATAAGACATCACTCTGGTGAACAGTATTTAGAAGCCCTGTTAGAGTTATACTGTAGTTACACTATAGCGTTGACTTCTGGCATGCTTATGCATTGACTTCTCTTACCAAGATATCAAGAGCTAGACTGCAGAAGCGGTTACTAAATCCTGTTTAGTACAACACGTAGTGAAAGTTTTATATAAATGTGTGGCAACACATGGACCTGAATTCTAATGAGAACGAGTACCTGGTTTTGTTTTATATCACTTCTAATTTTGGGGCTATCAAGTGTTTCTTTTAATTGACCAAACTGACAAAAAAAAAAAAAATCAAGCCTTGTGTTTTTAGCCAAACAGAGCTGGGCAATAGCAGGAGAAGGAGCTTGAGGGTGTTAGCTTTGTTAATGTTCCTTCTTGTTTAAGATACCCTTTTTCAGTTTTCATTTGAATAAATGATAAATGTGCATTTATTTTGAGGTAAAAAATAAAAGCTAATTTCATACTAACAGCTTTATGTTTCAAAATTTCCAAATTGTTTTGGTTTTGAGTCATAATTTAAATATATTTGGTAGAATGTTCTTAAACGTGGTATCTCTCTATGAAGATCAAATGCCAAATACTGAAATCTGTAGTCACGTTTCAGGAAATCATGGTGAAATGAAAATTTGGACTTTCCACTGAGACTTCATCTGTCAACAGTTGGTGTGGTAAATATGGAAAATGAACTTGTGGCTGTTTGAACTTAGTATTAGCCCCAATAAACCTCCTTTATATATCTACCTTCAACGTGCTGTAAGTTGGTTGTTGTAGATTGAAGTCCTAACAAAGCCATAAGGTGAGTTTGGGCTCAAGCTTTTCACTCACTCATGATCTGGAGTGATGTCTGCCACTCTGGGTAGTCTTGAATTCCCTGTCTTGAAACATTTATATGAACTAGTAATTTCAATGTTTAGTGATGTTTATTACTTCTCACTTTCAGTAATACTTTTGAGCAATATGGGAGTACTTGACTATGGAGCAACATCAGTTCTTTTTCTTCAAAAATTACTGATTTCCTTGAGCTATTAGGGCACGTTGGCTAATCTCTGGGGACAGTTCTGCACTGGCAGTGCATTCAGTATCTCCTCCGCTATGACAGTTCCCTTCCCAAGAAGGGACAGTTCAAGCTCATTCTGACGGTTGCAGCCTCAGTCTTTGGTAACCTCTGTGGAAACAGCAGATCAGTTTCCTAAAACGTTGAAACATCCCAGTGCCTTTTGAAAAAGGAGTTCAAAGCCAAAGTGGTTGCTTATGGTGCGGCTCTTTCCAGGATCCCTGAAGGAGAGAAGGATGAGGAGTGGTAGATGGAAAACAAAGCTGCTGTCTGGGAGAGAAGGAAATGTGGAAGGATTGGGCAAGTCGTATGGCTTGAGGACAGTTCAACACAAGGATCAATTGATGTTGGTGCTAATGGATTTTGAGAGGAAGTTCTGGTTCTTCAGTAGCTTAACCAGTGGCTAATCATTGTTTTGCTTCCAACAGAAACTTTTGGTCAGTCATTTAAGTGTAATCTTGTCAGTCTGTGAAAGAGAACACAGGAACTGGTTCAGTTTAGTTGTGAGGCAGATTTCTGCCCCCCTGCCCCAAACCACCAAAACCAAAAAACAGCTTACAGTTCAGTTTGGGACCAGGAATTAAAGGTAGATGCTTTTGATGTTCCCTCTGCCGCCTGTACCAGAGGTGGCTCAAAGTTCCCTCTTGCTCAAACCCAAGCAGCACAAGGAGTGCTTTACGATGTGCAGGTAGTGCTCAGTTATAATTGCAGCACAAGCAAGTATATTCCAAGCTGTCTCTAGCCTCGCAAACACAGCAGTAAAAGATAAAGTGGGACAGGACTTTCTGAAGAGGCAGCAGGTGCCCTTTGGGGTACTGTAGGAGAGCCCTGGTGTGACTGTTCGTGGTGAAATCTAATGGGAATTCAGGCGCTGCTTCTGCTGCCAGCTTGTCTGACCACAGAGCAGACCTGTTCCTCCTGAAAGCAGGCACTGGTGCCGCTGTGACCTGGCATGCAGACAGCCTCTCCCCGGGGCCAGGCTGGGAAGAGCAGCACAGTGACAACTGCTGAAGGCATTACTTCTGGAGTATGTGCACGAAGCAGAGCTGGATGAATAGGTAGCCCCATTTCTGTCAAAACTACTTGAAAGGAGTAAGTTGTCAAGACATCAGGTCCCATGACATCCTCTGCTTTTTTTTGGAGGAGGGATGTTGAGGAATGACTTCTGATCTAAATGTTAAACTACAAAAAGCAGCAACTTATAAATATTTAACCATTTTATCGTTATTTAGCATGGCTGGAGGCTCTGTTGTACGATGGCTCGCAAATGTTAAGATAGTCCATGCAGTTCATATGAACTGGGTAAGCTGAAGGAAGCCAGGCTAAGCTTACTGATTGGCAGTGTAAATTGTTTGCAACTTGCCCAAGTTCATGCAGGAAAGAAGTGGTTGAGAAAAAAATACAGCACAGGTCATCCAGCCGGGTACTTGAGCCATAGAACAGTCTTTAAATCAGTTGGTACAGCTTTAATGAAATCTGCCCCTACTCTGTTTCTAATCAGAGGAAAGAAAAAAAAAAGAAAAAAAAAAACAACAACAAACCACCAAATAATTTATATACGAAAAAGACCTCTGGGCACATCAAACTTTCTCAATACCATAAAGAGTTGTACTCGTTCTTAAATGAGTCATGCAGTGCTTGTAACTACTGAGGTCTCTGCTTCAGCTTGCTTTCTGGAAGACTGTCCCAGACCTCCCTCTAGGAGTTCTGGAGATGCAATTTTCTGCTGAAGTGTACTTGTGGCCAATTTATATCCCACTTAGTATTTTGCTTAAATTGCTTTTATATATGTGGTGAGGCCCCTAACTTAGTCCGTTATACTCTCACTCCTTCTGTTATGCCCATAAAAACAACAGTTTCTGCTGTTGCGGTTACATGCATCTGCCCAAGAGCTTGTGTGTCCTTTTACTTTCAAATAAATGCCAGGCTGCTTCTCCAGAAATTATCATTTTGGAGGTGTGGTGGCACCTATAAGAAGTGCAGATGTAGATCCCAGCCACGATGACTTGCTGGTTTTAATTTGTTCCAGTGTGAAGGCAGCGTGCAGGTCACTTTCACAGCAAGTGAGATACTCAGGTACAGTCTGAAGGTGAGAAGAGCAAATGGCTTCCCAACCACTGAAAGGGGAAACGAGTGCTTCCCCCGCCCCCTCGTTACAAATTCTAATTTCATAACGTGATTAATGCAGTAGGACTCAGACAAGAACATGCTTCAGTGACTGAAGAGCAGAGGCTTCTGCCAGCTGTCTGTGCTTTTCTTTCTACTACCAGTGCCTGCCGAGGGGAGGTGAGAAAATGACACCCTAGCTGTCTCCTGTCCCCAGGAGGTAGCACTGCCTGCACTGTGCTGACAAGACTCTGAATGCATTGATTAGTAGGTGGTGTAACCCATGTCTTAATATCATCTTGCAGTAATTAAGGAGGAACAGGAGTGCAGCATTTCAGTGCACACCATTAAGAGCAGTTGCCTAACGTGACCCTCTGGGAAAGCGAATGGCACGGGTGAAGCCAGTTTAAAGATCTCCCTCTGTCTGTGTGAGGCAGGTGAGTCAGCAGTACCTCATGGCAGGTTGTTAGCAACGAGTGCAGGTGTTCTCAGTCACCGTGCTGGTCTGTCAGAATAGTAATGTCATTTACACATCACCCAAGTGGCAAACTGCAAATTTGCCAGAGTGATAAAAGGACGCATTGAAAACATTGTGCATTTGTCAAACTTAGTCAAACAAGGTTGCATTTGTGTGACTTGGAAACAGCATGCACAGGAGAAACAAAAAACCAGAATATAGAGACGCTGCAGCATTCCTAAAAGGCCAAGATGTAAAAGGTCTTTTATAGCAGGAATCCTCATAATACAGCGTTGACTGTTACCCTTTCACCACAGTGAATGGCACTAGCTTCTACATATTTTCCAAGTGCAGCTGTTGGAATGAAATGAAGGAATACCCAGTGTCGTGCTGTTGGGAGCTGAGTCCTACTTTCTGACCTGGTACTTTAAGATGATCGGCAGGAGGTATTAGGGGCAGGGGGGAAATCTCTCTTTGCTTTTTCATCTGTTTTCTAGTTTCATCACAATGCACAGAACCCTGAAAGGCATTGGGTTTTTTCATTTGTTTGGGGTTCCCCCCCCTTTTTCTTTCCCCCTATTTTTTTGTCCCCCTTCTAGAAATTCAGGCTGTGAGGACTGTTGCAAAATGCAATTATGTGTAGAAAACTTTTCTTCCCTCCCCTGAAAATCCCTTGCCTCAGTGAAAGCTCTAGCATCAGGGTGGCAGCGGGCAACTGCTGCTTTCCGCACACATCAGCGAGACCTGATGACAAGGTTTACAAAGCACAGCAGTAAAAAAAATCTCACTGGTGATCTGTGCCTCCTGTCAACTGTGGAAGTCTCAGTGTCGCCACTCTTAGTTGAGCATTAACACACAACCCTTGGAACAAGGGGAGCCTGGCTGAAATACAGAAAAAGTATTAGTGGTGTTAACACATCATTGTTTACCTGAGCCTGGAAGATCTGGTCCGTGTCAGGCCTTTTGGGTGGTGGAGGTGTCTCATTAAAGGCGAAAATTGCACAGGGTTTAACATGGCACAGTTTTGGCCTTTGAAATAGCACAGGTAAGGGTTTTGTTGCATTTTTGTTACTAGTTTTAGTGCTATGCCTATACTGCTTTGCCTCTCTCTACTGTAGTTTTGTGCTGTACAATATGGAAAGCTCTCACTGAAGTGTCTTTGGCCCTTTGGGGGCTAAGGGGAAGGAAAGCTGTTTTAACAGCCTTTCAAAATGACCTGAAAAAGGGGGTGGAAATGCATGCTAGGCTTTGTCTTCTTTTTTTAGCTTTTTTTTAAAACCTCTGCTGCAATGTACATAGGAAGCCCTGGGGGAATTTCTAAAGGATTTTACTGTTTGTTTCTTCCCTTAGAAACTCACTTTTTTTTCCTCTTAAGAACAAGGGCAGCATTGATTTTTTTATTAAAGTTGTTTAATAACATGACCTATATCCTGCCCCCTCAACCTGCTAGAGCGCCTTGTCATCTGCGTTCATTAGCAAATTAAGAACACAAATTAAAAACTCTATTACATGTCCCAAGATACATATTTTCTGTGTTTTTGCAGACTTCTTGGTTTCACCTAGGTGCTTTTAAAGAGGCAAACAGGTATAGCGTTCCATTTTGCATTTACAGCGTGGTGCTGTTGGCAATACGTGACACTGACTTAGCCTTGACTAAAATATACTGTTAATTTATTTAGAACTTCAATTCGCATTTTTGTATATTAAAAAGAATTTGGGTTGATATAAGTAGCAGTAGGTACTGTTGTCAAAGCCCAACACACGTGAAGCATTTAAGGGACTTGTGGTTCACGATAGTATCTCCATGCTTACATTTCTTGATGCAGCAGCTCTGTAATTCACTGTGGTGCAGAGCCCTAAGGGGACTACACAAGGAAACCGTCTCTGCTGTGGTGGGGGGGGGCTGCATTAGAGGGCAGACCAAAACATGGCGTTTGTTAGGCAACAACCACCTGCTGTCAGGGCTTTGTTGGCTCCCTTCCTCGCACTGGGTGAGAACAAGCGAGACCTTGACCTTCAGGCCTTGGACTCGGTGAACATTTCAGCTGCCTCTTCAGGAGGAGTACCATAGACCATGGCCACGGGGCCAGGAGTGATTATGCTGGGTTTTCTTCTTCTTATCACTTACTCTTCC